TTCGACAGTTGATATGATACGTCGCGATACCTAGACGCCGACGAGAACGTACCCAAACTACTTTAACTAAACTGTCGCTAACGTCCACTTATGTAACCAACCAGTTCAGGTTACATAAATAAATAAGACAGAGCGACAATTCGAAGTGTTAATAAAAAAATACAACATTATCTTCCATCGCTTCGACCTTGAAGCTTGACCTTCGATTACTTTGCATCCGTGACGCCTACAAGCAGCATCAATCCTTTGAGTCGCTTCTTGTCCAGTGACTTGGTGAAAGCGTCTGCAGGATTCTTGTCGCCCTGTACTTAGTGTAGCTTGATTACGCCCTTCTGCACCTGCTCACGCACAAAGTGCCAGCGTAGCTCGATGTGTCGGGTACGTCGACTGTAAGTCAGGTTGGTAGCCATCACATATGCCGCTTGATTGTCGATACCGATCATTGATTTGATCGGGTGATTTGGCAATATCTCCTGCAGGATATTGCTTTCTGACATGGCCTCCATGCTAGCCTCGCATGCAGCCACGTACTCAGCTTCGGCTGTAGATAACGCAATTATCGTCTGCCGGCGAGACATCGACGCTATAGCACCTCCTGCCAGTAAGAAGACAAATCCTGTCGTGCTATTCCGCGGCTCAGGATCATTTGCCCAGTCGCTGTCACAGTAACCTTCCAACACGATATCACCAGCTGCATGCTTTTTAGCATAGGTGATCCCGTAGTCTAATGTTCCAGCACGATACCGGAGCACTCTTTTCACAGCGCCTACATGCTTCGCCGACGGGTTTGCCACGAATCGGCTTAATTGACCCAGCGTAAAAGCTAGATCCGGTCGCGTACTGGTGGCCAGGTACATCAACATACCTATGGGTACGGGAAACTGGTATCGGACTGCGTATCCTTTTCCAGTGGTGCAAATCTCACATTCGTCTCCATGGGGTTTCCGACAGCATGTGCATTTTGGTATCCAAACTTCTCCAGTATTTCTCGCGCGTACTTCTCTTGGCTGATCTAGATGCTTTCACGGGTCTGTTGCACCTCAACCCCAAAATACTGCGTCAACCTCCCTTGGTCTTTCAGGCCATACGCTTCGTTCAAGTCCTTGAACAACTTTTCCTTGTATGACTCTTCATTTGTTGCAACTAAAGTGTCGTCTACGTAGACCAACACGTATACGATAGTCTCTCCTTCAAA